GATCCACTGCCGCTGGCAGTGCTCCCCTGGCCAGGGAGACGCAAAGTGGCCCGGGTCAGCTGCATGATGGTGCCCAGTCGTGGGACCAACATAGGGACCAACATACACAGCTCAAGTCTAAGAATTGGTAATGGTGCTAGAACCTTGATCATGTCCTTGTTGAAATGCAGACTTGGACCACGATGGGAAGCAAGAACAAGCTTCGAACGAAGCTCTACTTCCTAATTCTGACTTTCCTGGCTCCTGAAAACCCAAACACTGCAAGCGGTAGAAAATACTGTATACCACAAGCCTCACGCCCTGCGTGCATTCCAAAGACAAAGACCGTGATTTTCCAATGAATCTGTAGACTTCCCATGATTGCGTGGACACTGCTTGACATGCAGTCCGCAACCCCAACCCCCAAATCTTACGTATGCCCAGTACAATGCCAGAGGGTGCGACCGAGAAGGATAGTCGTCGCGGCTTCAGCGGTCTGCCACGGTGAGGGTGCGGCGGACATGTGAAGAAGGCTTGCTTCTTGGTTGTTTTTTTTCTGCTCTCTCTCTCTCTCTCTCCCTCTCTTTCTCCCTCTCTCTCGCAATCTGATTCCTGGACTGGGAGGGAAGGCTGTCCATGCCGCCCACCTCGTTGTTACGAGTGGTTGCAGGGAGTGACAGCAGTGTCTAGAGAAACGAAGACAAGCTGAAGCTCGTAGGGTTGGCGAAGTCCCCTCGTCTCCTGTGCATTCGTGTGTCACACTTTTCCCGCGGCAAGACATAGGGGAGTCAAGTTGGACATTGGCGACAACAGCACAAACTCACGCTACAACACTTAACATCATGGCATGCACCGACCTACCCACTCCGTCCATGCGCTCAACTTCCGCTGGATGCGGCTCCCAAGCCTGCAGTCACTTTTCGCATCCTCTGGTGAATCATCTTGTTCGAACAGCCCGTGGAGATGGTCCATCCGCGAGAATTTTGCACCCCCTGCAGTGGTATTTCTGTAGCAGGACTAATGAAAGATGCACCTTAGGTACAATAGCCGAACCGGAACCGAGCTTGGTCCAGGACGCTCTTCCATGAGAATATGCCGCAACCTGTAGTACAGTCGAGTCTAGTAGATATTTCGGTTCCCATGCCGGCCACGTGCTTTAAGCGTATAGTTAATCATTCATATTTCGCGTCAAACATATGGAGCATCTGGCGTTAACCAACTCAGCAGCTTGTGCGTTCACTTGGTAGTGACGATGCTACAAGCGAGAAAGGATCGCTCAACAAGTCTCGTCAGAGAGCTTCGGGCTATTGCCATGCATCCTCACCCGACTCGGGCACGGCTCCTCCTCGCCCAGTTTCCTCTACTTCGACATGGACTTCCCGTCCTCTTGCTGCGCAGAGTCAGGCTGTTTTCGCGCTGACGTCTCGTGCTTGCCTGACGCGAATAAACTCCGGCAGAACGTCCCGGGTGGCGGCCAAATTATTTATTCTGCTATTCGCGCGGTGTTGGCATGAAGACTCACGCGGCATTCGCCTGTGCGTGGGGGCGTCGATATACCGCTGATCGGGAACACTGCCCATCTTTCTATAAGCCGCCGGCGAAATGCTGTAGCCGCGCACCTGCAGCTCTCAGAAAGAGCCTCGAATTGACAGATTGTCGTCCTCCGACCCTCTGAGTCGACTTGAAAAGGCGAAGCCGAGCGTACACCTGAAGTTGAGGCATCCCTTCCCAGATGGAAATACTGTCTTCGGAGGGCTGAGCAAATCCATCCATTCTTGATGGTCCCGGCCCTGCTGAACCGGAACAAAAAGAAGAGAAAGCGCACGAGAGTGTCTAGAAAAGGAACAGGATACAGAATGGGAGAAGCAGAACACAGAAGCTTCCTTTTCTGCACCCGCTTTGTGAGGAACATGAACATGTGCGACATGCGTTTTCTGATTCTGCCAGCACTGTCCAGTAAACAACCCGCAAAGTGAACAATGGCCTCCAGCTCCCCCCCAATTGTGAGCTTCCAAGACGTGCACTAAGTTGACATGCCGGGCGGCCTGGCAATTGACATCGCACCTTCTTGTCCTGAGAAGTGCGTCTGGTCGTCTCAAGAGCAACATGTGCTGACATGGATGACTGAAGTTTCAACCCTGCAGCACGGTATGCACACCTGTTGAGTGCCCTCTGAGCTGCATCTTGTATACCTTTACCCTCCGCTGTCAGGTGGGCTAGTACCACAGTAGTGCTGACCTGGACTGAGCTTCACCTGCGTTCCGAGAAAAATACTTGTCGCACAATGGCATGCAGTCCCGCACGGCAAAGCAGAGGCTTGCACAGTATAAGGAAATCTATGCAGATAAATACTATGAGCTCCACTCCTAATCTGGAGCCTTCAGATGACATAGGGTAGCTGGCGTGGTGGCAGCAGTAGGGGGGGCCACCGTGTCGCTTGCTCCTACAAGTAGCAGCGGACACACTGGCAAGTCCCCCAAGCACCGCTCCCAAATTCTGTCAGAAAACCTCCGCGGTCAAAAGGCCGTCACCTTTGCCCTACATTGCCCGGAAGCCATCGGCTTACCAAAGCCAGTTCTCAACTCATCTGAAGAGCAAGCCCTCCGAGCTCGAACAAACTCTTGCAGCTGGGCTGAGGGCCCGGAGGTGGTTCAGGCCACACCTCTCAGAACTGCAGCCCACAGAGACAGGTCATTTTGAACAGCTTGTAACCAGTTGCTTGTACATATCTTAGTTAGATACAGCATCGGCTAGATCTTGTCATGAAAGTTGTGCATACCGTTGAACACTGCCCACCTCGGCAATCGAGGCTGTGTGCTCGAAGCTGTCGTGGCCCTTGCGGTCACCGGGCATTAACAAAGCATGATGCTCAATGCCACACGATAAAGATCCGTCAGGGGCCATGAAGCCAGAAGGTCAAAAAGAAGCAAGTGTGTGTGTGTGTGTGTGTGTGTGTGTGTGTGTGTGCAAGTTGCCGTGGAACTGCATCTACGGTTGCGAAGTTGCAAGGGCTTGATAAACACACTGGTCAGCTGTCTCCGGGGCTGATTTTGCATTTTTGCACAGTGACCAGTGGCCCGGCCTGTCGGGCCGCAACTTTGTCAAAACTTTCGTACCCTGAGGCATGAGTCACCGACTCGATACCTCAACCTAGAAGCTTACAGAACCAAACCCAAAGAGCCCCAAGACTCATCCTCCCAAACTTAATTAACTCAGGACAAGGGATGGAAGCATCATCCAAGGGATAGACACCTCTCAAACTTAACACAGGGAAAGGCCAGGATCCTGGAGCCTGGAGGCAAGGATCACACCAGTACCGGAGGAGAGCAATGCTTGTCCGCCCCTTCCTTATCATCTGGATGCCCGAAGGCCCGGAGAGAGCCAAAACACGCCGCCTTCTGTCGCAGTTCCGAGGCCATAGTGTGGCCTTGCACGCAGGATGTGACTTGCTCTTTTTGCTTGTTGGGTTTATCGTGGTTGAGGCATAGAGCTCCCATTAAATCCCATTCAGGGATGGTGTGCCGAAGCGTTCAAGAAACTTCGCCCCAAGATTCTTCATTCATTGCCATGCTCATTTACACACCGCAACTGCAGCTTGTACCCTCAGGTCTGTTCACGACGTCTGGCATAGACCATCCTTCATCAACCCTGAAGCACTTCAACGAAGCCCCATGCAGAGGGAACTTCGGCGCTAAAGCCATGAGACCGTTCAGGGTAAACGTCTCTCCAGGGTCCGAGGACAGACCCTGCCACTTGACTTCAATGCCGAATGTCCAAGTGCTGCGCACCTCGTCTCCACCCCTCAGGAGCCGTGCGATGGCGGCCGCGGAGTGCCGAGCTTGAACACTGACATGACCAAGAGTTCAGGGCAGTGACACTCTGACAAGCATCAGGAGTCCTATGTTGCTTGATGCAGCCACTGTCGTTGTGCTAGTACTTAGAGCAAGACTACGGAAGCATGAGCGACAGTAGCAGTGGCAGTAGCAGCTGTAGTAGCAATAGTAGTAGTGGTGGTGGTTGTAGTAGTAGTAGTAGTAGTAGTAGTAGTAGTAGTAGTAGTAGTGGTAGTGGTAGTAGTAGTAGTAGTAGTAGTAGTAGCAGCAGCAGCAGTTGTAGTGGGAGTAGGAGTAGGAGTTGGAGTAGGAGTATTGGAGGTAGGAGTAGGAGTAGTGGGAGTAGGAGTGGGAGTGGGATTAGTTGCAGTAGCAGAGTACACAACCTGGGATGTACCACAAGTGCAACCACAAGACCATCACTAGTCCCAATGCTAAACTTCATGTAGATTCCTGATGGCACCCGTAGCGAGCCATCAACTGCAATACGCAGGATACTTGGCTGCATCATGCGCATCATCTGCACCACTACAGCCTGCACCAACATGACTAACCTCTTCATCACCAAGAATCCATGTAACATTCGTCATGTCCTTGACCTTGAATCATCAGAACCTTGTCAGTGTTACCATCAGCATCAGCCCATCATGACAAACCTGACCGACACCAGTACTGAATCGTTTACGGTTTTCTGCTGAAGCAAATGCAGGTTGCAGGTTCTGATGTTCGGCTCGGCTTGATCTAGGCCTTATGGATGTGGGCACGAAGAACTGGAGTCAGTGTCGAAAAATGTTGGAAACATGCGTCAGACATGCCCTCAGCTTACGCAGACTCCGACAAAACGGTAAGGAGAGGATAAACAGGGCAAGAACACAGACAGAGTGCACAGCAGCGGCGGTCAAGTTCACATTGTTATGATCCCTTGCTGCGCCCCCTTTTCGAGACGCTCAACACTTGAACTATGATCTCAGACTGTCAGCTAGGACAGAGGAGGATTCGTCTAAGAGCCCAAGTCATACTTCTCCTGGCATTGGCAGGCACCAAAACCACACTAACCGTGATCCGAAACCCGCAGACCACATGGCAACTCCTGGTGGACAAACGAACAACTCTGAACAATTTTGGTCACAGCACACTGCACCAACTACCAGCTTCAATCTGCAGCAGCAGATGTCCTTTGACCAGCGATCAGTGGCATACTCGCTGGCGGAAGTGCTCTTTGACCCTCTCGCCGTGTCGGAGCACCCGGCATTTGCCTCACGTCCACTGAACTGAGACGATCACCAGGAAACATGCTAAGACGCCCTGCGAGCAGCGGAGTCCCAAAATCAAACCCCAATGTCGTTTGCGACTATGATGTGAGTGAATACGACAAATCCCTTCATCATAATCGTTAAACTTACTAAACTTCAACACGAGTAGCCCTCGAAGCGGCTCGTTTTCGTTCGTTTTCGTTTTTCTCCACCAATTACTCCGCTCTAGCGAAATGCAAACTGAAAGACCTCACCTGCATCCCACGTTTTTGAGCAGGGACTGCAATGCGCTAAGCCCTGAATCCCTTCAGCCAAGCTTAAATCGTCAGCTCTTATGGCTGAGCACACGAAGCGTGTTGCACTGTCTGCAACCATATTACATCAGCCCCACTACTCCTGCAATTCTGCTACCCTCGCAACCGGAACATCTACACATCGATTGAAACTTCAGCAGCTGTCTCCATCCTACACTGTTTCTGCTTGTTGTCATCTGAACCGGAAGCTGTACTTCACTGCTACGACTACTTTCTCACTGCTTGCTTCTCGGTCCCAGCAGCAGCAGGGGTTGCAGCCCACGCAGAAGCCACAACGCATGACTCCCTCGGCCTGGACATCCAGGAAAAGAGTGGCCGGTGAGGATCTCGGGTATTGGCGGCACGGGTTTCGGGTTTTGGTCTGGAACTGTCGGGTTCGAAGCTTCTCAAGGCGTTCTCCTTCATGTTAACTCAATAATATTCTCGCCCCTGGTTCCTCAAAGAACACTTGTGGCCTGTTTGTCAGCCAGAGTCGCAGAGAGTTTCAGCGAGAGTAGTCGTACTATGAAGTCGACATTACTGAGTATGCGAACCAGAAGCACCCACTGCGAGGTTCCCAAATCGTAGCCAACATGCAACACTGCTCTAGCTCAGATTTGCCAGCAAGGATGCAGGCCCAAGTCTGCCGTGGCGTTGCGCTTACAACTACACCTGAACCCTTATAACATCAAGCGACAGATCCGTTTCAGGTCACCTGCTCGTCTCAAAATGCGTTTCTGAGGTGACATTTCGGAAAGGCCAAGCGTTGTTGCGAGTCTGGTCCACCTACCTCGAGAATTCGGGTCCAGGCCATGCACCTTTGGGGTATAAATGTTGGAGCTTCTTGGTACAAACTCTCACAAAGTCTGACCCCAAAAGGTGGAATAAAAGGTTGAGAAAGCTCTAATTAGAACCCAAGAACAGCTATAGATTTTGTTAATCAGGTTCCTACAGTTCTACAGTCTCTTGCTGGTGCGACCTCGGTCACTTTGTCCAAGCACATTTCTCGCTCGAAGGGCTTATCCCCGACCTCGTAGTCCTTGACAGGCTTGGGGTTTAGCTTAACTAACATAGGGGCCGTAATAATTAGAATAGCGTTTTGGGACCCATTATACTATAATTGTATCAAGGAAGCCCAGGAAAGTATAGGTAATTATTGAGGCCCCTGTAGTACGCTCTCACAGCGCGGACGAGCCAGATGAGGTCTCTCGGTTCACCGTCGGCTTGGAGGAGAGATGCACCCCAAAATCACCGCAAGGACGGGGGGTTCATAGACTGAGAGCTTCAGCACGGTTCAAAATCTAGTGCCTTATAATCAATCGCACTGGCATTTGTTTGTTGGTCCGAAACGCAAAGACAGACTGACTTCTAACGGACCACGTGAAACTTTACCTGGGTGCTTGCATTAAGCACGCCGATATTTGAAATTCTGCCACAGCAACGAGAGTCTCGGAAGATGACTTCGTGCTGTGCGTCAGTGCTCGGATACATCTGCGAAAGCTGACACCAACAGATTGCAAAGTCAGTTTCATATGTTTCACGACCCCAATTGCAAACCACAACTTTCCGTTGAAGCCAAGTCTCCAACTTGCCGAACAAGCATTTCGGGACAGGCAAGGTCGCCTCAGCTGTTCGTGCCGCCCTTGCTTGCACTCAACATGTTCACCCTAGGAGCAGCGGCTTGTCCAGACGCCACGGTGCCTGACACAAAAACTACCATTTACAGTATGTACATACGCACACAAACGTGTATATATGTATATGTGTATATATATATATATATATATACACATTATTATCAATATTAGAACTAGTTAGTTTTGATATGTTAGTATATTGATAGCCTCGTATATAAGCAGATTAGTAGATCAATACATCAATGTATTCGAACAGTAAAATACTTGCATACTTGTATACCAGTATATTTGACATGTTAGTACAGCTGGTGCATGAATACACTAGTATATTGGTGCATTAGTTTACTAGTATATTAACATACCAGTGTATTCGTACGTTAGCATGTTAGTATTCTAGTACGTGTACTATATTCATGTATTGTCTAATCATTTATAAATGTATCAGTATGTTGGCATATTAGTATACTAACTTGTCATGTCGATATACTTGCATATTGCAGTAGTCACCGTATATTAGTATAATCGCATATTAGTATAGTATAATCATACAACAACGAGAAGTATATTGTTACATTGGTATATGGGTATATGCTTATGCGAAAGCATTAATACATGAATGCACTATTGTAAATATCTGTATCTTAAGATAGTGATATGTATTCCCGTGTGCTTTTGTGTACATTAGTATATGCAGGTGTCTATTAGTAATGATATTAGTTTTCTTATCAATATGAATATACTACTGGTATTAATGTCGGTATTATTAGGATTATTAGGACTGTTTATAGTCGTATTAGCCATTATATGAGTGTTCATGCTGGTAATACTAGGCAGTCTTGAATTCAACAGATCATCAATGTCCGTATCAGTGTTGGTGATAGCACTACTGTTAACGCATAAGGGTTTACGTATTCGTATTCGTAGGAGTATCAATACCTATGTAAATATTGATGTTAGTGAAAATACTGTGATAAGTATTTTTTGTAGTGTTAGCGTTGGTACCATAATGTTTTTGATAATTTACATTTGCAGGAATGTTTGTACTAGTATTACTCTTGATCACGTGAAAATACTAGCAAAGGAATACAGGAGCGAGTTAAAGCATTTATATTTTAATGTAGTGGTGTGCATATTTAAGTACACTAGTACATACAGGTGTGTGTGTGTGTGTGTTAGTATTGGTACTAATATACACTATTATCAGTATGAATATGATTATTGATATGCGTAGGAGCATCAATAGCAATATTAGTCAACATTAGTATTTGTATTATGCATGTTCGTACTCGGCTTTATAGAAGTGTAACATTAGTAGTAACGCTGGCATTAGCTGGAGCATTCAACAACTGATGAATGTCAGTCTCAGCCAAGGCAATACTATATGTAGGAGTGTCAATACACATGTATATAGATAGATGATAAATGGATCTTCGTCTAAATATGGGCATGAGTATTGACAGTGAGTCGTAGTGCATGGTCTGTCATCGGATGGGTCACAATCAGCCCTCCTGAGAATCAGTTTCAAGAATTCCAAAAATTTCCACAACTGCCCGGCCTAGTGGACAGGATTTTTCCAATATCATAAGGGCTGACTTTTTGGAAATATTTGAAATTTCCGAAAAATCCAAAACTTCCAAAACGGCCCGATCTAGTGGACAGGATTTTTCCAAAACATAAGGGCTGACTTTTTGGAAATTTTGGAAATTTCGAAAATTTTGGAAATGGAAATTTCGGAAATTTTGGAGATACTGGAAATTTTGGAAATTTCGAAGTCCGGAAAATTAGGGGAGAGCATTTTGGAAATTTTGGAATTTAATTTTTGAGTGCTGAGTGCCGCTTCCCCCGATGACAGACCATGCGCTACGTGTGAGTTGGAAGGGCACGGTCTGTCAACGGCGGGGGGGGGGGGGCGACCATACATATATATATATATATATATATATATATATGGTACCCCCCAAAGCCCACACTTTTCCTGCTCAGGTACGACATCCAGTTCTTCCTTGCCGCGTGGGTTTCCAAGATTTCCAAAAAGTGCGGCCATATATCGTAGGGAATACCAAAATTTCCAAAATTTCTGAAATTTCCAAAAAGTACGGCCTTATGTTTTGGAAAAGTCCTGTCCACTAATTTTGGAAATTTCGGAAATTTTGGGATTCCCGACGATGTAAGGCTTCACTTTTTAGAAATTTTGGAAATCCTTATAAGGTACTCTATACATTCATGTCACATATCACTTAAAATATGTGTATGTATATTGTGTGTAGTTCGTTTTCTGCGGCTTGGGATAAGAACTCCATCCAAGGATATTGTCGTCAATCATCAACTTTGCGCGCGAGTGATCCACACGATGGCGGCGGCAAGAAACCAAAATGAAAGTTGCAACACCTGACATAGTGCAAGTGGACTGCTACGTAGTTTGTTTCGTTGCGTGGACTGCAAAGCGCCAAACATTGTTTTTGTTAGCCCATCTACTGGTCAAGTTGCTAGCCCTCGCATATCTTCATCCTCCATCCGCACACATGGATCCAGAGAACGTCTCTCTCAAAGACGCCCTCGAGGCCACCGCAGATCTATGGATACATGCTCTTCCACAACCTGTGAAAGTTGGTCCGATGCTTGCAGGTTCTATCTCTCCGGCTACACTTCCCGGGCCGTCACTCTCAAGCATTTCTTCGACATTGTTTATGATTTCGACGGACCAATCAATCACGATCAATTGGGCCCAATCCTTCGTGATCAGGCTTGGGGTGAACTTCTAGCTCCGTTTGGACTACAAAAGGATCTCGGAGTCAAGTATAACATGCAGATCTTCATTCGCACCCAGGCAAACGGGAAGAACTGCATCATCAAACATATATTCATACCTGATGAGAAGGTGAAAGCATCTCTCGTGCATGGTTGCGGCTACGGTACACTCCACGAAGTCATCTGGGGACCAAACCCCAACAATACCAAGAAGGCCTTGCAGTTCATGTTAGAGCAGATGGGGGGCGTGCAGTATCGAACGTTCGTGCTTCCACCCGAGCAGAAGAAAAAGGCCAAATTTCCCCAGGAAAAGTCTGAGGAGGAGCTTGAGAAAGGTTTTCGGTATATTCGTGAGTACGGGGAAAGGGATAAAGGCAATTTGAAGCAACTTCATTGGATCCAGAAGAGCATCGCAGGGAACACACCTATCAAGGGATAGAAGGATGGCTTGGTTCAACGTTGTCTCGACAGCTTAGCCACCGACGCAACCATGGCGGACCTCATCACACGTTCAGATCTGGTCATCTCCGACTTCGAAGATGAAATCCAGCACCTCTTTTTCAAGATTGTTCCGTATATGCGCGAACACGCCATTTGGATACTTGGGGAGCCAGGCAAAAGCAAAACGCCTCTCGGCAGAGTCCTGGCTATGATGGTCAGTCGTTACTATGGTGGGGCAGGTAGTTATCGCACTGGTAGTGACTTCGACTACTTTCGCGGATGTCCTTTCTCGAGTATGGTGCCAGCCATATACGATGACGGCGAAATCGGTGCGGAGCCCGTGAAAAAGAAAAAAGCATTTACTGACGTCGCAGATATAGAGACGTTGACGCGGGAGCGGTGGACGGCAGCAAAGTTCAAGCAAAATCAACTTCGTGTCGTCATAGACAATGCGTATAACAAAGACGAGGAGACGGAGATCGTACCAGGCATCCACCCTGTCGTCTCTCATGAGAATTTCGTGAAGATGATTCGTCCTGCACTCGGCAACTTGGTAATATTAGTTACATATGGTAGACCAACTGTGTTGCTTCTTACAACATATAAACATTATTCTTTACTTTTCTTTATTTAAAATATCTTGACATACACATAAAGGTTGTATGGGACAATACCATGTCTAAATGGCTTCTGCAAGGAGATATGAGTTCCGTCGACACCATGGCAATTTTCAAACGTTCGGTTTTCTTCCTCGTCACCAAAACCTCGCTCTACTGGCGGTTGCCTGGTCCTATCGAAAAGGACGTGAACCGCATGAGTTGGCTTCTTCCCGATCTCATCAAAATATTCTGCTAAGCCCACCATCGCAAACTTCAAGAGGAAGGGGCCGCCTCCAGCCGACCAAGAAGGACGCCTTCTATTGGAAAACGCTTGGCTTCTGGAGCATATCCGTCAATACGATCATCCTGACCAAGTCCCCGTCGCAGTACCTGTTCCTAATGCTGTCCGTGTCAAGCGTGAGCGCATAGCCTTCGCCAGAGCTTTGTCGACAGAGTCTCGTGCTGAGCCTCTTGACTTGAGTTCACCCTCACCCAAGAAGAAAGCTCGAGCTGCGGTGCCGGTGCCGAACCCCCCCCAGATGTAGATGACGATGACTTTGCTGCTGTTCCTGAAGGTACTGATCTAGATGATTTGGAATATGATTTGGAGAAAATCATGGAAAAGGACCAGGACAATGAGGAAATGGACTTGGTGGAAAGCAACCAGGAGTCGTGACAGCTTCGTATCACCGTGTAAAAATCTTTCTGGCCTATGTCCATGTGAAATATGAACGTACAGCTGTTATAGTGGCTTCCATTCAACCTAATTGATTAACTTTCTTATGAACACTGTATGGAAAACTGCAGAGTACAGTGACATGAGGCCGTGATCTTGGACCCGAAGACACATTTCGATGCAGGTTTCTCTCTTTTGCTCGGATTCTGATGCTCACCCGAAAAGGATCTTGCTTGCAGCTTTGTAAAGCGATGTTGTGCAGTGGCGACAGTACGTATCCAGTGGTGTTTTGAATGTTTCTGTTGTGCACTATATAGTTTGGGCTTCATCAGTGTAGTCTTGTAGTTTGTTCTCGCGCCAGTTTATGCACCAGTGCCATGGCAAAACAGACGTCGTCATCTTCCTATGTACCGAAAAAGGGTAAACTTCGAGCCGTTATGAAGCGACCATCTGCCAAGATGAACGCTCTCTGGAAACAAACTCCCTACATTCGCGACATTGACGGAATGGCCCCCAGAGGTATGCGTACTGACCAGATGAAGTGGAAACAATCCTTGCCGGAACTTCTTCAAGCCTCAGATCAAGCTTAATCAGGAAGCTCATTGCGGACAAGATCCTGCCCAACCTCAAAGGCAAGACATGTCCACGATGCCAGACGGGCACAGCATCGATGCAACAACAGAGCTTGTCATGTACGAATCAACCCACATCATCTCATCCTCTTTTCACAGACGGCAGAGGAAGCGTTACTACCAGACTCCAGATCCAGGCCGGCATTCTTCTTCTCAAGCTTTTGCATGTCCCGCATCCCTCTATCCACATCGCTCTCGACGTGAACCACAAAGTCATCGAGGACTTCGAAAAACGTCTTTGCAAGCTACGCCTTCAACATGTTGAAAAGCGCGAAAAGAAAACCGTTTTTGGAGATGGGAAGACTTGGAAGGACATCGAGGCCGAACTCTTGCATGCACACAGTCTGTTTTTTGTGTCTTTTGTTTTTATATAGAACTTATATAAATAAAACATAAAAACAACAAAGGACGAGGCCACCTTCGATAAGAGAGACATTTCCAAAGCAGTGAATTTCAAACACCTCGTCGTGAAGAAAAACGAAGCAACAATGTGGGTGCAATGGGTTGGGGTGGTGCAGCGGTGCAAGCCAAACACAGTTTCCCTGCACAAGTTGCATCCAAAGCTCACAGTAAAGCGGGCACCGGGGCCTGGACCTATCCGCCGCATGGAATGGAAAGATCTAGGCACCAAGTTGCTCGAGAACCGCCATGTAGTGCTCCACACCGACAGTGCTAAGTCGTATAAGATGAAGATTAATGGCGTCTTACACGACAAAGTCGTACACGCTAAAAAGCGTGTGGAAGTTGGCGGTAAGTTTGTGTGGCAGCAGCCCACGTACGTCAAGATTGTCAAGCATAAGCTGCCTAATTCAAAGAAATGTCTTTCTGTGAAGTCAGGAACCCAAATCATTGACAGGTGTTGGAAGTTCCTGAAGTCCCGCATTGTCCTCAACCAAAACACTCGTGCAGGAACACGAGCTTTTCGTGCTAAGATGCGATCAGCTCAGTTTGATTACTGGACGCGCGGTAGTGATCTGTGGCTTAAGTGTGGAGAACTCTGTGCTGAACACAATACCAAATTCTTTAAATGCGTAGGTGCTGGCTCTGCGTTCTCAGCTTTCAGTCATGCAGTGGGTGTTGTGCAGCGCGAACCGGCTTGGCGAATCGAAAAAAATGCTGTATGCCTTTCAGCAGCTAGTGTTTGTTCTGATGCTCGCTCATGCTATTTCAGATCCGTGTATTCACAATGTATTTCGCAGCCCATTTGCCTTCACAGCTCCGACGACTGACGACACCCACCTCATCAGAACAATGCCGGCTATGTGGCGTTTGCTCATGGAGAAGATCATTCCCCTCGATGTGACGTACGTCACTGGTGAGTTTATGCGAGGTTTGCATGGGCTGGATAGTTTACTTTTTTGTTTAATGTACTTGTGTTATTTAAAGGAAAATATTTAATATGATTCCCTGGCAGGAAATGACACCCCACCACCTGGTCCAGTACTCAAGGCCCTCCGGTATGTTGAGCGCAAGGTGGCGGAGATGCCCGATGGTGTCTGGATTCGCTTAGTAGTTTTCAAGATAAACAAACCCTGTTTATATTAACGGTTGTTTACATTCGTGTCTATACTAATGCATAAGGTGCGGATATCATGGAAATCGGGAACTTGACCTTCAAGGTGTATCGTCGCTATGAGGCTCCGCTAACTGAAGCCGATATTTTTTTCCTGTCACAGTGATAATGTCTTCCGCAGTTGAAGACATGAAATTTTCCTACAACTGAAGACTCACCCAGTGATGTCGAGACGTTTTTTCTCACAATGATAATGTCTTCCGAAGTTGAAGACATTTGATACAAATGGATGTGACCCCAATTGCGAGCATCATAAAAGTTAGTCATCGCCTGGCAGATTGCAGTAAACGCGTGCTTCATGAGTCGGAAGCGTTTTGACTGTGCTGTATCCGCTCATGATGCTTTGCTTGTCCTCAAGCGAAGCATACTACACGCCATGTACACATCCCAAGCAATATGAACAAGGTCGCTTACACGCCGTCACATGTAGCAGTGATATCCACATGCCGGTGCCATGGTTCCCTGCAAGAGCCTGGCAAGAGCTCTCGGATCTATGAGATCTAACGATGTTTCCTTGCAAGAGCTCTCGGAGCTATGAGATCTGACGGAATTTGTGTCTCGCTGCGATCTTTTCGGTTATGTATGCGTGTGTGTGTGTGTGTGTGCGTGTTTCACAGAAGAGACGAGCCGGTTCAAGCCTCAGAAGCGTCATGTCTCAACATCGAGGCGGGGCATGTGATCAATGATTTAAGATTCATTTTGTCCATTCTGCGGGCTTTAGAAGGGTTAGCATATATATATATATATATATATATATATATATACATACATACATATATACATACATTGATGTATGTTTGTGTATGTATGTACCTGCATGTATGCATACACACAATAACACACCTCACATACAGAGACACACGCTCGGACAGACGGACAGACAGACAAACGCAAACTCCGTATGCATATCCATATGCCAACCTGTCGTAGAGACTGGCGTTGCGTGCGAGCGTATGCTGATGTAGAACATTGTGGTTGCAAAGAACCTCAACTAAGAAAGCACGCAGCTACCCACGCAGCCGATGCAACCGACGTTTCGTGAATGATAAGCCTGTACACCTAACACTCTATGCAACCACAACTGCACCGTGAACTCAAGTGCCAAGTAGTTCTGGGCTGGCCAGGTCGCTCCGCGATCGACGGGCTTCTCATCGATCATCCTTTTCACTTCCGGTGACAATGCCTCTAGGATGCAACAGGGTCGGCTGTCGGTCTTCGTGAAGCAGGTCCCTGAAAACCTAACAAAACAGCAAACACTCATGGCTTGGTTTGAAACTCTTCTGGCTTCGGGGCGTGCAGAGCTTCAGGACTGAACTCACATGGAAAACTATGGTCT